CCCTCCTGGCCCTTCTCCTCTCCCCCATGGTGGTACTGGGCACAGACAGCCCAAGCCGCATCACTCAGCTGCCTAAACAAACCCCCAAGTGCCTGCCATGGTTGAGATTTAAGCATTTAAGCAGAGACAAGCACTAACCTCCTCAGTCTCTTCCAAGCAAGTGACCTCTCTCTGGCAACACCCATGATCAGTGCAGGATGAGGTTTAATACCAAACTAACACCTTTCTGATGAACCAAGCTGCCTCCTGTTGTGAAGGAGTCTTCCTGCTGCAAAGGGTTCCTCCAGGGAAAGCTATTATGTGGGTTACCTCTAGCTTCACCCTAATTAGAAGCAGAGAATTAATCCCGTTAGCAATACCACTCAAATTTCTCCTGATAGGGAAGGTAGGGACAGACTCCTGAGTGCACCTGGCCATTAAAATGCCCAAATTTGGATGTGTATGTGCACCCATACATTAAAGAGGGCAAAATGTGGGGGTATGTCTCACCCCAGTGCCCTCAGTCACACAAGCCCCTGCCTTTGTACCTTTTACAACCAGTGTTGCTCATGTTTGTGTGATCCTGCAGCAACCTATTAAACAGGAGAATGAGCTGTTACACCCACACCATCCCCAAAGTCTGTATTTTTACCAGTAACATCATCATCACCACAGACCACTCCATAAAAACAACCCAAACAAGTGACATTTTATTGGCGAGTTCTGCTCGTAATGAATTTCCTTTGCCACGCGCATATCAGATTGATTGAAGAAAAAGAAAGGAAAAAACCAAACCAGAAACCATTTTTTGGGTAACATTCCATTTGAAAACAGAATTTTTTAACATTTTAAATTAAAATAGAGGATGACAAATTGAAATTGAAGTTCTAGGAAAACCCATCCTGGTTCCCCCAGGAGCTGCTCCTCGCCAAGCTGCTCCCACCTCGGCTCTTGTCTGAGCCCAATGAAGAGGACTGGGACATGTGCTGTTCTCACCACTCAAAGCCCTGTTGTTATACATTCGTCACAGAAAAACATAAAACAGTTTGCAGCAAACCAACCAGTTCTTTTTCTTCCCTTATTCTAAAGCTAAGTCATACTGAAAGTTTGGGGGGGGAAATGTGGCTTCAACATTCACCTACTTTATCACACACAAAGATTTCTACTAAGAGCATATCCAGGTTGAAATTCACATCTGATTTCTGTCATGAGGTTAATGTTTATGGGGTGCCAGATGAAATCTATTTCAAAATGATAAACACGTCCCTTTTTGATGAGCAAAGTATTAGTTTTAGCCTTTTGGACCAACACTCAGTTGCTGGGCTGTATCTCCTGCAACTTGCCAGGAGAGACATCTTTCACCGCTACCGCAAACGAAGAGATGACTGGTGGCAATCACACACTTTATCGTTAGTAAGATGCTGTATTTAGCATGTTTGTTTGCATTCTGAAAATGCCTTAGCTCACTTCTTTTAGGCCCCAGAGGCTTTGTACACCAGAAATTACACAAGTACAGAAATTAGTAAATTGGTATCCACAGCGATTTTGAGGTATTCCACTAGAAACCTGGCTCTGCATCTGAATGTTCCTCTCAAAAACAAACAAAGAAAAAAACCAACCCAAAGCCCTAGCTGGAGTGGAAATTTCATTTAAAAGATTCCTTTCATCGCATGTTCCACCACATTTGGTCAACAAGGCCATACTTATTTCCCCAGCGGCACAAAAAAAAAAAGCCTTCTTCGTCCTTTTCCTGGAATATTAATTTCTGTACTTCATTCCTCAGTTTCCTTGTGCACTCAGAAGAGATGAAGACAAAGGTGGTGTTTCTTAGCCAAACCAGAGAAACACATTCAGACACTGTTTTTGGTTTATTTAATTTGCAAAGGTGCTCTAAGAAGATAGCAGTGATTTCCCTGTGCTGAAAATAGCAGCGGTTTCTACTCTAACCTCCCATCTGCGAGGAAGAGGCTAGGGAAACAAAAAAGAAGTGTTAAACATTCAGGAGAACATGACTGTCCCTATGTGTAGGAAGTCAAGTCGCTAAGGGAAAAGACCAGCCTAGGTAAATAGAGAACTTAGGCTAGAGCTTGGGGAAACAAGAGACTATCACCTCTGGAAGGAGGGTCAGGCAAACTGGGAAGACTGCAAGGATGTTGAGAGGTCATGTAGGAAGATTAGGAGAACCAAAGCCCAGCTGGAACTTGATTTGGCTGCTGAAGTCAAGGACAACAAAAATGGTTTTTATAAATACATTGAGAGCCAAAGGAGTTTCAAGGAGAGTGTCCATCAGTTGGTAAATGCAGAGGGTAGTGTAGTGACAGGGGATGAAGATAAGGCAGAGGTACTCAATGCCTTCTTTGCCTCTGTCTTTAATGTCAAGACTGGTCATCCTCAGGATACCCAACTCCTGGAGCTGGAAGTTGGGGATGGGGAGATGAGTGAAACCCCTGTAATCCAGGAGGAGATGACTTGCTATGCCCACTGGACACTCACAAGTCCATGGGCCCTGATGAGATCCACCCCAGAGTAATGAGGGAACTGCCAAAAGAACTTGCTAAATCACTTGCAATCATCTACCAGCAGTCCTGGATAACTGGAAAAGTTCCAGCTGACTGGAAATTAGCAAACATGACACTCATCTTTAAGAAGGGTCGGAAGGAGAATCTGGGGAACTACAGCCTGTCAGCCTAATCTCAGTTCTGGGAAAGGTCAGGGAGGAGATCATCCTGAGTACCATCACATGGCACACACAGGGCAACCAGGGGATCAAGTCCGACCAGCATGGACTGATGAAAGAAAGGTCCTGCTTGACCAACCCAATCTCCTTCTATGACAAAGTGACCTGATTAGTGGCTGAAGGGAAGGCTGTGGATGTGATCTATCTGGATTTCAATAAGGCATTTGACACTGTCTCCCACAGCAAACTGCTAGACAAACTGGCTGCTTATGGCTTGGATGGGAGGACTCTTCAGTGGGTAAAAAACTGGCTGGATGGCCCAGAAGAGTTGTGATTAATGGAACCAGCTTGAATTGGGGCTGTCACTAGTGGTGTTCCCCAGGGCTCAGTGTTGGGGCCAATCCCATTCAACATCTTTACAGATGATCTGGACATGGGAACTGAGCACACCCTCAGTAAATTTGCAGGCAACACTAAATTGGGTGGGAGTGTCAATCTGCCTGAGGAAAACTCTACATGGACCAACTTGATCAATGAGGACAATTGCATGAGGTTCAATAAGGCTCAGTGCTGGTCCTGCACTTGGGACACAACAACCCTATGCAACTCCAGGCTGGGGGAAGAGTGGCTCAAGTCTTGTTTGCTATAAAGGGACTTGGGAGTGCTGGCTGACAGCAGCTCAACATGAGCCAACAGTGTGCACAGGCAGCCAAGAAGGCCAACGGCATCTTGGCCTGCATCAAGTATAGCGTGGCCAGCTCATCCCCCTGGACTCGGCACTGGGGCGGTCACACCTCAGTGCTGTGTTCAGTTTTGGGCCCCTCACTTTAAAAAGAACATTGAGGCGCTGGAGTGAGTCAAGTGAAGGGCAACAAGGCTCAAAAAAGGTCTAGAACACGTTGCATGAGGAATGGCTGAGGGAACTGGGATTGTTTAGTGGGATTGTTTAGTCTTGAGAAGAGGCAGCTCAGGGGTGACCTCATGGCTCTCTACAACTACCTGACAGAGGTTGGAGAGAGGTGGGGGATGATCTCTTCTGCCATGCCAGTGAGAGGACTAGAGGGAACAGCCATAAGCTGAGACAGGGGAGATTCAGATTAGATGTTAGGAAAACCTTTTTTACTGCTAGGGTGTTTAGGCACTGGAATATTGCCCAGGGAGGTGGTGGAGTCACCATCCCTGGAAGTGTTTAAGAGATGTCCGGATCTGGCACTGGAGGATGTAGTTTAGGGTTTAGGGAATACAGCAGAGTGTCAGCTAATGGTTGGACTTGATGATCTGAGAGGTCTTGTCCAACCTTGATGATTCTGCGATTCTATAAAAGACCTCGATCTGAGAGTATGAAGACCAAGTTAAGAAGAAATGTTCTCTCAGGTCTGGATATGGCTTGCTAGAACTGTATCTATTGAGGCAGTCAGCATGAACAGAAGGTTGCTCCTGTGGAACAGGAGATGCTGCTTAGGCATTTTTCTGTTAAGGTTGAAGGGGGACGGACAGCTTTACTCCTCAGGTAACTGCTGTTCTCCTTTGAACAGCACATTCAGAATGACTTCCAACAACCAGAGTTGTAGTGTTAGTTGTGTATAACTTTTAGATACACAATAATTGTCTGCAACATCTTAACTGTCTCCACTGGTTTTCATGAAAAGTGGAAAACCTTTATAATGACATCAGAAGGAAATAACTCACTGCTTCTGTAGTTGTAGAAAAGCCATAGACAGCAATATTTTCTAAAGTGCTTCTTTTCAGTTATTCTTTCAAAAATCAGACCTGTATTTTGTAGCGGCATCGATTTCTAGTAGTTCGTGGATCAGTAGATAGTTTCTGATGTAAAAAACCCATTACGTATTTTGTTTAGGCAAATGACACTTGCATTGACAAATGCACCAAAGAGAGGGATCTAAGTGCAAAAGCCACCATTTCTGAAAACACAGCCTTATGCTGGTTTATTAATGCAACTTTACATCCTTTAGAAGTTGTTTACTTCGACTCCAAGAGCAGGGATTAAATAATACAAATAAAAGTTGAAAAATCAATGATTCTATTGCCTATATACCCTGAAATAAAAAGAGTCTTATGATTCCACTGGTGCAAAAATCCCTCCAAACACCTTTGTTTTATTGGCAAAGTCATTTAAGGTCACTTTTGCTTCCAAGACCATCTTCTTCCATGGTTTCCACTGAAGGAGTTTTGCTTTGTAATAGCATGTGGTTCCACAGTGATTTGTAAATGAAAAACCTACTATGAATAACTCTACCATAGTCACTAAATTACAGATACTGTCATGAGAAAAGTCCAAAACTTACAGTGTTTGTTTGAAAATTTTCAGCAAGACACAAAATTCCAGTCAAAGAGTTTTCTTTGAATGCCATTTTAAATGGCAATAAATGGCTGCTGTACCTTCTGGATTGAGAATTTAATGTGCTTCTTACACTGACGGCGTACTTCGACCGTACCCAGTGCTTGGTGTGGAAGGGCTCCGGCAGGCACAGCCATTTGGATCAGCTACTTCTAGAGATATAGTGCAGTAGGTTTGAACCTGCGTAGAGAGACCCACAGCTGGGTGGCACGTAGCAAATGTGGGGGTTGTCTGTTCTCAGAAGGCATGACACAAAGCACCCCGGGCAGCAAGAGACAGAAGCAGCTGCAACGTTGTTCGGATTCTGTCGAGTAGTGGTAGTTTCTGTCGGGAGGTGGTGGTTATTGCTGCGACAGTAACGCACTCCGGTTGGCTTTCATCTTCTCCAAGCGTTTCACTAGATGACTATTGCTGACCTCAAGCTCTTCAGTTTTATCCAATGCTGAACGAAGCTGAAGGAAGGAAGTGGAAAAAAAACATAATGTTCACAGTGCTTTCCCCTTCCAAAGACAAAGCAAGGTTTCTGGTTACCAACACTAACTGACCATATTGCTGGAGTTTCCTTCAAGTATAAAGCAGCTGAAAACTCATTTCAGCAGAGTTAAAAGTAAGTGTTGTGTAACTGCTTTGAAGACCACATGCACAGAGGTTTTTTAAGCACAGTGCCAAGGATCCATTTACAGAATGTCAAACAAATGGCTCAGAACTTCCCTCAACTTCAGACATGGAGGCTCAAAGGTATCTGCTGGATGATGTATGCCTGTCTCACTGCTCAGCTTTTCTGTTTCTGGTTCCCAGCACTACACCCACCGCTAGGACCTGATGCCTTAGTTTCCTAAAAACCCACCATGGGATAGGGGTAGGAACAGAGAACTGGACTGCACAGAGCAGTATTTATAGGTAGCAGAGCAGAAGCAGTGTTTGGATAAAGGGAAAAGCCACACTGGAAAAAAAAACCCAAAACACCCCAAGCAACACGGGAGGCAGGTGTGACAGAAGCTGATAATGAGAGAAGCTGATAAAGGTATTCAGGCTGGTTGTAGCAGCTACTTGGGGAGAATGTGAAATGTAAAGAAAAATAAGGTCAAAATTACAGACAGTATGAAGATGCAATGTTTAAAGAGACAGAAACATGACAGTGTGTGGACAAACACACCGCAGCAAACAGGCATGAAGAAATTGACAGAGCAAGACAAAAAGGCTTCCAAAGAACAACTCACATCCATTTAGCACTTGAGTTTAGACTCTGGTGCTTGAAAGTTTAGACTGACATTCCTGGTAAGGTGTGGCACTGTGCTTAAATAATGACATACCCAAATTAACTTTACAGCAAGAATTGCAGTTTTCTACTGTTGTAAATTCTGAATCAAGTGTTCTCCAGAGACCAGTGATTTGTATTTACAAACCCAGAATTTATACCCTCCCCCAAAGTAGTGAGCCTTTGGGTACAACAAGGACAGCAAAGTAGAAATACGAGCTTTTCAGCTGATGAATGTGGAACCATGGGAACATTCACAGCTGCAAAGCAGCACGCAAACCTGAGCACTTCAAGGCTGCTTCCAGGTTCGTGTCGTACAAGTAGAACTTGAGTTTTTTCCAGAGAACCAGCTCTGGTACAAAGCAAGGCACTGCAAGTCAGTTTAGGAAGGAATGGTGAAACAGCAGTGAGAGCTCACAGTTGTTGACTGTTACTCCAGTTTGAGTGCTGGAAGTTTAGTTGCACATTTAGAATGAGTAACTAAATAAAAATTAGATGTTTATTGTTTGCTGTGCCAAAAAGGGTAGCTAGTCCTCTAAAGCACAGCAGAGAGGCAGATCTCCCCCAGCGTGGAGCAGGCTGACTGCTGGCCTAGGACAGCTTGTGGCTAGAGTTACCTCTCTCTGTAGTTTGCGTTTCTCTGCTTTCAGTTCATCTTCTACTCTTTCAGCATTTTCAGCAGCAGTTTTGTATCGGGCTACCTGACCTTCCAGTCGTATTACCTAACATGAAGGCAAAGGTTTTGAATTAAAAGCTGTGCCAAGAAGTTACTTTGACGCTTTACTCTTCCACTAGTACTCAAAGAATAACTAGAGAGATACTTCCTGCTCTTTAATAAAACAAAGGCATATTTCCAGGTAAAAGAAATACCAAGGAAGCCTGACAACAGGAACTTACTCTCGACGTTTTACACACCTCTATATTTAATATACTTCCAGCAATAATAAATACAGTGCTTTGACTAAATTTCCTTTAGCAAGAGCATCACTGACATACTCTGGACAAGAGCAAACAGTCAAAATTGAACAGATGTGAATAAAATCCGTATTACTACATCATGTGCCAGGAGCTGTTTAAAACTTGTCAATACCTAGGCATAAGGAAGCGTTCTGCAGAGCTGAGCAAGTGCTCTCAGTATACCTTTATCTTAAGTGTTTTTCCTTTGGTACAGATGAACAAAACATTATCCTCATACCTAAATGAAAGCGTTTTAGTCTTCATAGCCCCGATGCTCCAACACTCCTTATTTTAAGGGAAAACCTCAGTAATCACAATTTCATTTAGCATATAACAAAAGACACTTTCTATTTGCATTCTCCCCATGCTTGAACAAATAGAACAAGCCAAAAACTTACATTCTGCTCCAATGCTGTTATCTCTTGCTCAGACTTTGCTAGTTTAAATTTGAGATCACTGATCTGTCTGTTGGCATCTCCTAAAAGAATTGCAGATTGATCAGAGATGTCAGAACAAGTGTTAAGTTTCTAACAAATCTGCCCGAAAATTCCCGTGCTACAGGGATCTACATGGGGCAGTGGTAGAGCAGTCCTATCAAAAAGTGCCCAGCAGGTAGGCAGTATTCCCAGTCTCGCCCGATTCCCTTTCCAAGCACTCTGAAAGCAGAATTATCCTGAACTCAGTCCAGGTCTCCCAGGGAGCCTAACAGAGATTTCCAACTGCAGCCGTACTCAAACGAAGGCTCCTAACTCCCTCACCTCTAGCAGAGATGCATGGCTGGCTCCCAGGCTGGAGCCCCCTGAGAAATGAAGGATCATTCTTATGCAGAGCCATGTGGTTACTGTACAGATACAATACAATTGGCCTGGATCAGGAACAGCGTGGTCAGCAGGACCAGGGAAGTGATTCTTCCCCTGGACTTGGTGCTGCTGAGGCCACACCTTGAATCCTGTGCTCAGTTCTGGGCCCCTCAGTTCAGGAGGGACATTGAGGGGCTGGAGCAGGTCCAGAGAAGAGCAACGAGGCTGGTAAAGGGACTGAGCACAAGTGCCATGAGCAGAGGCTGAGGGAGCTGGGGGTGTTCAGCCTGGAGAAGAGGAGGCTCAGGGGAGACCTTATCACCCTCTACAACTCCCTGACAGGAGGTTGGAGTCAGGTGGGGGTTGGTCTCTTCTCCCAGGCAACCAGCAGGAGGACAAGAGGGCACAGACTCAAGCTCTGCCAGGGGAGGTTTAGGCTGGATATTAGGAAGAGATTTTTTATGGAGAGAGTGATCAGGCATTGGAATGTGCTGCCCAGGGAGGTGGTGGATTCACTGTCCCTGGAGGTTTTGAAGATGAGACTGGATGTGGCACTTAGTGCCATGGTCTAGTAACCACGGTAGGGTTGGACTTGATGATCTTGGAGGTCTTTTCCAACCTGGTTGATTCTATGATTCTATGATTTTCTCACTCACATGCAGGGCATAAAAGTTCTCTTAAAATCAAAATGCAGCTCACTTTGGAGGTCAATCATGTGCATATCTGTCCCATTTTCCAGAACTTCATCATCTGACTGCATGTTTTCCATCTTGCCATTCTTTTGCTTTTCTTCCAGCTGTCCCTTTAATTTTTTAATCTGAAGGATACAAAATAGTTATTAAAACTACTAAGGGAAAATTGTGGCTCAGTACTCAAATTCACTCAAGTATTCTAAAACCAATTAAATTTATTTTAAACCTATATTCCCAAAAAAATCTTTTGTTACAGAATAATGTCCTAGAAATTCTTTCGGTATCAGATTTTATGCATCAGTGCTTGTGTATAAATCCAGGACAAAACACAGTGAGTGGGAGATTTATTAGAAAAGCCTTAAATATTCTGCAGGCACATTCATGTAAATCATTCTTAAAACCCCCAAAACTGTGTTTGTTTGTGTGCAAGTCTCAAGGATATAGAGCATAAAGGGAAGCATAGAGTGTCCTGCAGGGAAACAAACCAGCTGAATTTTTTGAATAAGCTTTATA